AAGAGCATTGCCTGCTCTTCCAGAGGTCCTGAGTTCAATTCCCAGCAACCACGTGGTGGCTCACAACCATCTGTAATGGGGTCTGGTGCTCTCTTCTGTCCTGCAGGCAGACACAAAGACAGAATATTGTATACATAATAAATAAATAAATATTTAAAAAAAAAAAGAAAAGAAAATGTACAGATTCTCTATGGCAAGGGGTGTGTGTGTGTGGCACACTGAAGCTGTTGAAGGCCAGTAAAGCTACAGGGAGGGAGCCAGGGGCAAACTGAGTATGGCGGCGTGGCTAGAAAGTCTGGGCCAGATGATACAAGCTCCTGGAAGAATTAACAAGTTTTCTTTTGTATGTTAAGAGGAATGGGAAGACATGGGGATGGTGGTTGGGGAAGTAGAGAGCACTTTCTTTTTTCTTTCTTTCTTGGTTTTTCGAGACTGGATTTCTCTGTAGTTTTTTTGGAGCCTGTCCTGGAACTAGCTCTTGTAGACTAGGCTGGCCTCGAACTCACAGAGAGCCATCTGCCTCTGCCTCCCAAGGGCTGGGATTAAAGGCGTGCACCACCATCACTGGGCTCTTTACTTTTTCTATGGCTGGTTGTATAGCTAGGTGGCTGGTCCCTCGAGTCCTCCTCTCCTCCTTTTCTCTCTCCTTGATCCTTCTTCCCAGATTTCTCCTCCTACTTATTTTTTCTACCTACCAGTCCCTTCTATCCTTTCTCCTGCCTCGCTATTGGCCATTCAGTCTTTAGTAGACCAATCAGGTATTTTGGGAAGGCAAAGTAACACAGATTCACAGAGTTAAACAAATGCAACATAAAAAAATGCAACACATCTTTGCATCATTAAACAAATATTCCACAACACAAACAAATATAACACATCTTCAACTAATATTCCATAACAACTTTCTTCCTAAAGAATTATTTACTCCAGCTTGGACAAGGATTTCAGAGGAGACAACATAAAGAAGAAGCTAGTAGTATCTGAGGGTAGAAAGTTGACTTAAGATGGTGACTGCAGGGGCTAGAGAGATGGCTTAGAGGTTAAAGACAGTGACTGTTCTTCCAGGGGTCCTGAGTCCAATTCCCAGCAACCACATGGTGGCTCACAACCATCTAAAATGAGATCTGGTGCCCTGTTCTGGCATGCAGGCATACATGGAGGCAGAACACTGTATTGTATATGTAATAAATAAAATCTTAAAAAAAAAAAAAGATGGTGACTGCAGAAATGGATACAAACGGAGAGATTTGGACAAATATTTGAGAAGTCAAATTAGAAAGAATCAATACTTTTTTTTTGTCCTAATTGAGATAGGGTTTCTTCTACATTAGCCTCCCAAGTGCTGGAATTACAAGCATTAGCCTGCCATTCCTGCAGGAGATTGGATAAGAGGAGTCAGAAGTTGCATGTTGTAAGCATGACCCATTCTATAGCTAATATAGGAAAAAAGTATCATTTAAATTTTTTAATTTTATTTTTTAAATGTTTATTTATTACATATACAGTGTTTCTGCCTGTATGCCTGCATGCTAGAAGATGGCACCAGATCTTATTAAAGATGGTTGTGAGCCATCATGTGGTTGCTGGGAATTGAACTCGGGACCCCTGGTAGAGCAGGCAGTGCTTTTAACCTCTGAGCCGTCTCTCCAGTCCCATTTAAATTTTTTTTTTTTTTGATTTTCGAGACAGGGTTTCTCCATAGCTTTTTGGTTCCTGTCCTGGAACTAGCTCTTGTAGACCAGGCTGGCCTCGAACTCACAGAGATCCGTCTGCCTCTGCCTCCCGAGTGCTGGGATTAAAGGTTTGTGCCACCACTGCCTGGCCCATTTAAAATTTTTTAAAAGTTTAACAGATGAATGCTTGCTTGAAGGTACACACACACACTGTGTGCATGCTTGTGCCTCCAGAAGTCAGAAGAGGGCCTCATATCCCCTGGAACTTCAGTTAAAGACTACTGGGAGCTGAATCATGGTCCTCTGGAAAAGCATACATGCTCTTAACTGACGAGCCATCTCTCTACTTCCTTTAATTTTTTTTTTTTTTTTTTTTTTGGTTTTTTGAGACAGGGTTTCTCTGTGGTTTTGGAGCCTGTCCTGGAACTAGCTCTTGTAGACCAGGCTGGTCTTGAACTCACAGAGATCCGCCTATCTCTGCCTCCCGAGTGCTGGGATTAAAGGCATGCGCCACCACCGCCCGGCTAAGATTTTTTTTTTTTTTTGTTTGTGTGTGTTTTTCGAGACAAGGTTTCTCTGTAGCTGTGGAGCCTGTCCTGGAACTAACTCCTTGAACTCACAGAGATCTGCCTGCATCTGCTTCCCGATTGCTTTGGCTTTGGTAGCACCCAAAGGCATGCGCCACCCCTGCCCGGGTTCTTCTGAATATTCTTTTTTTTTTTTTAAATAGTAGGGCCATTGTAAAGGTTTTTAATAATAAAATTCAAACCTCTTAAGCCATTAAATAACCATTAGGCTAGGGAAGAACTTTCTGAACAGAACAATAATAGCACAGGACTAGCTCCAAGTTTCAACAGATGGAGATTACATGTAATTAAAAGTTTCTAAACCAGCCAGTGGTGGCACACTCCTTTAATCCCAGCACTCGGGAGGCAGAGGCAGGTGGATCTCTGTGAGTTCGAGGCCAGGCTGGTCTACAATAGCTAGTTCCAGGACAGGAACCAAAGCTACAGAGAAACCCTGTCTTGAAAACCAAAACAAACAAACAAACAAAATATTCAGAATAAATAATTGGAAATATGTAAAGTATAACCCTAGTGCTTATCACTGTATTTTGTTTGGATTGTCTTTCTTTTCCTTCCTTCCTTTCTCTTTCTTTGTCTCTTTCTCTTTTATTCCAAGACAGGGTTTCTCTGTGTAACTGGATGTCCTGGAACTCACTCTGTAGGCAGGCTGGCCTCGAACTCAGAGATCTGTCTGCCTCTGCCTCCTGAGTGCTGGGATTAAAGGTGTGTGCTACCATGGCCCAGCAATTGATGTTTTTTAATATAAATTTAGAAACCACCTTACTGTTTAGAAATAGATAGCCAATGTATTATAATACACTCATAATAAAATCTACTTATTGTCTAAATTAGGACACATCTTACTAATTGCAAGAATTACAGATAATATGTTTGAAAGTACTTTGTAAATTGGAAGTTTCTGCTTAAATACTGTTGTTTTTATTATTGGAATAACCAATGTGCCCCTCAATGATCTTGGAAATATGGAAAAGCTGATAGTAATTAGATGCAGAACTCATACCTGTTCTCATTCTCTTGGTCTTAGTGGTTCTCAAGTTTAGTGTCAGAACTCTGGAAGTACTCTTTGCAAGCAAGCCACAGTGACAAACTTACCCCAATGAGGCCACGGCTCCTAATCCTTTCAAGCAGTTCTGCTCCCTGCGGATCACCCATTCAAATAAATGAGCCCACGGAGGCCATTTCTAGTCAAACCATCACAATAGTGTTATCTCCTGTTCTTCTCCTTTCCTGGCTCAAGCCAGTCCAGCCACACCGACTCCAGGCTGCTCCTCTACGAAACCAGGATTCTCTATTTGCCTCAGGGCCTTTGTATAGGCTACCTGTTCCTCTATCTGGGATACCCTTGAGCAAGCAGGCTCACCTTATCAACAGAGCCACACTTAATCAGCACTAATCCTTCAAACTCCTTATTTTCACTCCACACCACGCATCCACGACACACTACCCATGTCCATCCATTAGATTTGTCAACTTCTTGAAGGCAGAGAGCTTCTTTGTTCTAGTCTTGCAGAAACCCTAGGGTTTATATCTTAACACATAAGGGGTCAGTAGCGATTTTGAAGGGCTTAATGAAGAACGTTAGTCTGTAAACGTAAGGACTCCAACAAAAAATATTTCCTGTAATATTATCTATTGTTCAGGACGGATTTCTGCACCTAACATTAAAACAGCTGTTGCACCTATATACGTTCCCCCTCCACCATTTCTCCCTACGAAGCCAAGCTGGCCTTGAATTCAGCCTGCCTGCAAGTGACTACAGGTGGCCACTATCGTGTTACACCTGTACTGGCAGAACTGGGAAAGTGGAGGTCTGATGCCAGCCTGGGGCTGAGAGGCCCGATCTCAAACAAACAAACAAACAAGCCTTTCAGAAAGCTACGACTGAGACGGTGAGAGGACAGTCAGCCAGCTCACCCGGGGACGCCGAGTGAGCCTCTCAGGATAGAATATTGGTTAGAAACGTGGTCTCCTAAACTGGCACATCAGCCACAGGGACTTTTCAACATCCATCTGCTCTCCAACTTCCTGATTCTGTTCTGGGGTGTGGCCCTGGCATCTCCGTTTAGAAAAAGCTCGTTTGATTGGCTTCCAGGTATGTAGCAACGTTGGAGAATCACCTTAAGAAGCTAAAAATAGCTATTAGGAGACTTCTTTCTCACCGGAGGAAGCCGATACCTTTGGGGTGTGTGTGTGTGGGAGAAGTGGGGGAGTGGGGGTTCTGCCCAGCTGCTCTCCGGAGTCACAGCCTTCTAGAGAACACGGTCCATCAACACCTAGCAGAGACCCAGGTGGTCCGCACCTCGTCGCTGGAGGCCGCCGCGTCCAAGCGCGCGACAGATGAAGCTTCCGCGGAGGCGCGCCCGTCGCTGGGGACGGCGTCGCCCCGGAGACGCTCGTTCGGGGACGAACGCGGGCTAGCCTCCTACCCTTGCACGCTTTCCCTCCCTCCTCCCGCACCGCTGCCCCTTCGGCGCTAGCAGCCAAACGCACGCCACAGAGACCCAGTGCCACTAACTTCAGGCTTTAAAAGCTCCTTACGAGCTCCCGAGCCCCGGCTCTGTCGCAACGCGCCGGCCCGAGGCGCGGACTGGCTTCGCCGACCGTTCCGCGCGCGCGCACGACCGAGTTCCCGCCTCCCTCCGGAGGACGTCGGGGCGTGCGTGCGCGCGTCCGCCCCTCCCGCCGCGCGACGCGAGGGCGGGGGCGCCGCGTGCGCGCGCGCGCCCGTGTGTTCGCTTGCTCGCTACCTCGCTCGCTCTCGGCGGCCGCTCTCGCTGTGGTTGCGGCTGGGGCTGGGGGCGGCGGCGGCGGCGCGAGCGGCGGGCGGCGCGGGGCGGTCCGGCGGGTTCAAAGAGGAAAACATGGCGGAAAACAAAGGCGGCGGTGAGGCAGAGAGCGGCGGCGGGGGCAGCGGCAGCGCGCCGGTAACCGCCGGGGCCGCCGCGGGCCCGGCGCAGGAGGCGGAGCCGCCTCTCGCCGCGGTGCTGGTGGAGGAGGAGGAGGAGGAAGGCGGCAGGACTGGCGCGGAGGGCGGTGCGGCTGGGCCCGACGACGGGGGGGTGACCGCGGCCTCCTCCAGCTCGGCTCCGGCCGCCTCGGCTCCCGCGGCCTCTGTGGGCTCCACGGCTCCCGGGGGCACGGCATCGACGCCGGCCCCAGCTGCAGCGTCGGCTCCGGCCCCGGGTCCCTCGTCGGGGCCGCCGCTCGGGCCACCAGCCTCGCTTCTGGACACCTGCGCCGTGTGTCAGCAGAGCTTGCAGAGCCGGCGTGAGGCGGAGCCCAAGCTGCTCCCCTGCTTGCACTCCTTCTGCCTGCGCTGCCTGCCCGAGCCCGAGCGCCAGCTCAGCGTGCCCATCCCCGGGGGCACCAACGGCGACGTCCAGCAAGGTGAGTAGCAGGCCGCACCCTGGTGCTGGTCTGGTGACGGGGGCGGGGGTCCTGAGGCTGCTCGGACGGTGCAGTGCCGAGAGGTTGCGGAGGCGAAAGCCACGGCCCCGGGGACGGTTACCAGAGAAGCTGCACCGCCGGAGATACGGGGAGGCAGAAGGGAGGGGTGCCGGCCGCGAGGGGCTGGGGGAGGGGATGCTGCGAGGGAGGTTTGAGGCGCTTCTGCAGAGGGTGGACTAACAGAGACAGAGAAGGGGTCTGCAGAAGCCGCCCCGAGAAGTGTTTTTTGGGGGAAAGGGCCTGTACGGGCGAGTTGGACGAGATGGGGTTGGGATGGATTGCTTCCGAGAGGGGAATTGGCCTGCTCTCGGTTAGGAGGAAGAATTACCGATTGAATGATAATAAAAGACATTGGAGACTTTGGGCAAAAAGAGCGCCCCACGCTGACATTGTGACGAGGAGCTCGGTAAGTGATGATAATTGTGAGGGGCCTGCCTGGCTAGGGGAAGTCCTTGGATTTGAGGATGAAGAAATAAACTTGAAAGGGAAGAGAGTGGTAGGAAGAGTTGGGCTTATGTTGTTTGTTATGCATTCTTAGACCCAAGTATTCAGGGCGCTGTGCTATGACTGAATAAAATACTCAGGATTTCATTAAGTCTAGTAGGGGAAACCTTTGTAACCTGCAGCTGTAGAGGTGGGTGCCATGGTTGGGTGTAATGGAGGGAAGGTGTAGGAAGCTCCCCGGTAAAGGAAGTCCTGGAGCATGTTTTTTGCTGGCTTGGATGATATTCCCGGCACAGGGCACTTTCTACAACCCTTTAAAGGACATGTGAAGTGATTGGTGGAAGTTAGATTGTACTAATGGGCTCAGTTGTTAAGGGATCTATCCTTCCAGTTTCTGAAACTGTTAGGTTTAGTTTGTTATGGATTTGAGATGCAGTATTGGAATTTTTCTTTTTCCTAGAAAGATCTCTTGTGTAGTACTCTAGCAGGCTGTAGGTACCCATTATGGAACAATGTTTCTATATAAAAATTAATAAATACATTAATGGGGTAGATACACCCTGCAATTAAGTGAGTTAGGCTTTATGACATGCTTGCTAAAAGCCTTAAAATTTCAAAGCTTTTAAAATTGATTTTGGAATTGCCGGGAAGGAATTGTGGATTATACCAAAGGGTGGATTGGGGTTTATCACATAGACTAGAGGACCTTTCTGAAGGGTCTCTTGTAGGCTGGTCTCAAACTCTAGTGTCTAGAATGGCCTTGAACTTCTGATCCTACTGCTTCTGCCTTCTAAATTCAAGGATTATAGCCATGCGCACCTCTACTCCTAGATTTATGCAGTGCTGGCTGTAGTTGGAATTTTCTTTGGGGTGCCAACCAGTTCCCAAATAAAGACACAGAGACTTCTTAATTATGAACGCTTGGCCTTAGCTTAGACTTGTCCCACTAGCTCTTTTAATTTAACAGTTTCTATTCATCTACATTTTGCCTCGGGGCTTTTTACCTTTCTTTCCTTCTGTATGTCCTACTTGCTTACTTTCTCTGTGTCTGTCTGTCTGGCCCCTATCCACTCCCTCACCCCAGCCTAAATTCCTACTCGTACTTTCTTTCCTTGGAGGGAAGTCTCACCTATGCCTCTTCCTCACTGTTGACTGTTGAGCTATTTATTAGACCTAGTCAGGTGTCTTAAGCAGGCAAGGTAAGACAGCAATGCATCTTTAGGTAGTTAAACAAATACTCTGCAACAGCTGGTGATGGACTCTGGGGTGTTATGCATGTTAGGCAAGCATTTGACAAACTGAACTAGCACAGCTTCTGAAGAGTTTTTGTATCAAGAGGAAAAAACATTCAGATTTGTGATCCAGAAGAATGACTAGGGCACTTGGAGGAACAAGGAGAGGCAAGGCTGCAGGCAGGGAGACCTGATAGAATCTTGACAATGATTTTAGGTGAGAAATTGTTTGGAATAGGTACTAAAGTCTGATACCAGATATTACACAAGGGTACATTTGGTATTAGGGTAGGCATTGGCTTGGTAGATGTTGGCTTTCTGAGAAATGCTGAATTTGGGTTTTTCCCTTGGCCCATTTCCTAAATATTTGGAGAGATAAATCTCCCTCCCTCCCTCCCTCCCTTCCTCTCCTTTCCTTTTTTCCTCCCCCCCCCCTCTCTCTTTGAGAGACAGGGTTTCTGTGTGTAGCCCTGTGTGAACCAGAATGGTCTTAAATTTAGAGGGCCTTCCTCTACCTCCTGAGTGCTGGGATTAAAGGCGTGCACCACTATTGCCTGGCCAAGAATAAAGTTCTGAGCAGAGTGTGATAGCATATATATATAATCCCATCTCTTAGGCTGAGGCACTGGAATTGCTGTTGCATTCAAGATGAGCCGGGTTTACACAGTGAGTTCACAATGAAACCAGATCTACAAATACAACAACAAAACAAACTAAAATTTGAGTTTTGATTGATGGAGATACTAAGTGAAAATAGATGTAAGAGGATAACTGCTTATGATTCTTGAGAGCATAATAGGACACATGAGATTCAGTGGACACATGAGATTCAGTGTTCTTGTGAAAGCTTGTGTTAGGGGAGACATTTAGAGGGAACCAAAGATGCAAATGTATCTGACTGATTAGCTGAGGGACTGAAGTTACAAAGTTGGCTCTCTGAAATATGTTCAGAAGACAGAATAATCTGTAAGTTCTTCAATTCTCTTCTCTCTTGCTTTTGAACTAAAAAAAGTGGAAAGGAATAAACACACTCTCATCTAAGTAATGCTGCTTTCTAAGTAGTTTTGCTGAGAAGTATCTAAAACAAATTGAATACTAAATCAGCCATTTTTAGGCAGACAGCCTAGAAGATATTTTGTCAGTAGTAACTTTAATATGTACCCTTTGCATTTCATAGCACAGTTAAAAATGTGATTTTTTACTTGCTCATCTATTTCCTATTAGACTATTGCAGAATATATGTTCAATAAATATGTCTTTTGAGCAAATAAGAATAATCTAAAAGCCAGGGGGTGATGGTACACGCCTTTAATCTCAGCACTTGAGAGGCAGAGGCAGGTGGATGCCAGCCTGGTCTACAGAGTGAGTTCCAGGACAAACCAGGATTGCAAAGAGAAACCTTGTTCCAAACAAACAAACAAACAAACCATCTTCCTAATGCTTCAGCCTTTTAATACAGTTCCTCATGTTGTGATGACCCATAAAATTATCTTTGTTGCTACTTCATAACTATAATTTTAATATTGTTATGAATTTGTAACATGAATATTTCTGGCGATAGAGATTAATAAAGGTCATGACCCACAGTTTGAGAAACATATTTAGAGGGGCAGGAGAGATGGCTCTGGTTAAGAGTACTGATTACTCTTAGAGATGACCAAAATTGGATTCCCAGCACAATGGGAAGCCATCCGGGCTTACAGCTTCCTGTATTACTGCCTATAGCTCTAGTGTGGACACACAGACACACAACAAATCTTTAAAGATATGAATCATCTGCAGAGCTTTATTAAATGTTGACTTAGGGATTTTTTTTTTTTTTTTTTTTTTTAGAAATGTGTTCCATTTGAGGTATGTAACTGTACCTTTTTAAAAAAGAATTATATGTGGGGTGTTTTGCCTGTATGTGTGTGCCTGGTGCCTTTGGCCAGCAAAGGGCATGAGATCCAATAAAACTGACTGGGAGCTACCATGTGGGTGCTGGAAATTGAATCCAGGTCCTCTTGAAGAGTAGCCAGTGCTTTTACTAGCTAAGCCATCTCTCCATTTCTTTTATTTATTATTATTACTGTTTTTTAATTTTAATTACCTTTTTTATTTTCAAGGGGGGGAGTTTGGATTCAGGGCCTTATCATTTGAGGCAAGCTCTCTACTACTAACTATACCTCCACCTCTTGTATCTGCCCTTTTATTGCTGGTTTTGAAACAGGATCTCATGTAGCCCAGGCTGGCCTCAGACTTGCTATGTAACTGAGTATGGATGGTCTTTAACTCCTGATCTCCCAAGGACTAGAATTATAGGCATGTGTCACCAGATTGGGCTTTGTACACACACTTTTAACATGGTCCTCTTGTGGTTCTAGTGCAGGTAATAATCTACCATACTTGAAGAACTTGGATTTGAAAATTTTAATTTTTATCTTGTGAGTGTTTTATGTGGGTGTGTTCACCATGTGCATGCAGTGCCCATGGAGGTCAGAAGAGGGCATTGGATTCCCTGGAAATGGAGTTACAGAAAGTTATGAGCTGCTAAGTGGATGCTGGGACTTAAACCCGTGTTCTCTACAAGTGCAGTAAGTGCTCTTAACCCTGAGCCATCTTTAATTTAGTGTTAGCGCATTGGAAAATCAAGCCAGCTCATGCTTGTTGAATCTCAGTACTGAGCTTTTAAAAGTGCTTTTGTGGTTTTAAAAATGTTTGGTCTTGGGGCAGGGCAGTGGTGGTGCATACCTTTAATCCTAACACTGGGAAAGCAGAGGCAGGCGGATCTCTGTGAGTTTGAGGCCAGCCTGGTCTACAAGAACCAGTTCCAGGACAGGTTCCAAAGCTACAGAGAAACCCTGTCTGGGGTGGGGGGGGGGCAAAACCAAAATCCGCCCCCTTCTCCCAACAAGGTGTCTTTGTGTAGACTTGGCTGTCTTGGAAGTTGATGTATAGACCAGGCTGCCCTTAAACTCACCTCTGCTTCCCAAATGCTGGGATTAAAGGTGTGTGCCGCCAGATAAACTTGGGTATATTTGTGATAGCACAACGACGGTGCCGCTGATCCCTGAAGTATAGGGAGCCACTTGATGTGGGTGTTGGGAGTTGTACTTGGGTCCTCCAGAGGAAGAGTATGTACACATAACAGCTGAGCCCCTGTTAATTTTTTTAATTTTTTTTTTTTTTTTTTTGATTTTTTGAGACAGGGTTTCTCCGTAGCTTTTTGGTTCCTGTCCTGGAACTAGCTCTTGTAGACTAGGCTGGCCTCGAACTCATAGAGAT